TATCCGGGAAGATGGGGTCTTAAATCTTTAACAGACAATATGCGTGTCTAAGGCCTGTTTACGTAATATACGGTTACTTAAAGATTAAATGTTACCAGAAAATTCATGAATGAATTTCATTGACGAATCTCTTGTTGGTAACATTTAATTTTTAGATATCGTACATTGAAATCGAGCTTAAGATATGAAAAGATTTTCTAGAGATCTTCTATAATGTCTATCTTTATAATGTCTTTTACAAATATTGTTTAGAATCTGAACAATGTGTGTTGTCTTGTCGTCTGAGTTTGTTTTGTTCATTCACCTGATCAATATACAAAATGGATAAAAAAAATAAATAATCTAAAACTTATTTATAGATAAGAAATATAATAAAGTTTATTAACTGATTTTAAATAATTACAATAAAACAAACGTTCTGAACAACTAACAAAGTCATGAGTCGCAACTCTGATGTCACAAAAAGTTATTTTGACGGTCTAATAAAATCATTTTAAGATCTGTATTTAGGTACTAATTTTTTAGATACTTCAACAACATTGTTCTTTCTGTGCAGCAATAGGCACATTGAATGAGATAGCCATGTTTCGTGATAACATTGCAAATCCAACATTTCCAATGTTTTTATGTAATAAGTAAAATCCAATGTTTCCAAGTTAGAATAAGTATTTTCATACATGAATATATACTATGTGCGTGATTTCATTTTCGATATATAAAAATAACACTACATTACACATTATATTTTAAATATGTAAATCCATTTACGTAGTATAGTATAGTTTTACATGGAAAATTAAATCACACAAAAAGATCGGTTTTGCTAGAATATCTAAAAATTTAGTTAAATACAAATCTGAAATAATTTTGTTTGAATCATCAAAATAATTATGCAGGATACTTAAACTGGTTATATACGTAATGCTTGTATCACACTAGTGATTGGAAATTATGTCTTTTACATTCGTGTTTGCGTCTCCTGACCAATTAGGAAAGATTACTGGCCAGCAATTCCTTTCTTCTGATGTCTTTATAGACATTAGAATGGTTGCGTTCAACAAAGAAAGCAGCTTTGCAACTATTGTAAAATTCTTTAATATGATTGGTTTATACATTTAGATCCAGTGAGGAATTAAATGCAAGACCAATCATATTAAAGAATTTTATACAACAGTTGCAATATTAAAACTTTTTTGTAACATTGTCATCAACGTTTAAGCATTTTATATAATTATTTTAATGTTAAAATTATTTTCAGATCTGTATTTATAGCTAAATTTTTAGCTTATACTTTAGCAAAACTGTTCTTTTTAGTATATATGAAGGTATTTTATCACATACTTGGATTTACAATGAATCCAAGTGAAACTATCTATAACTGAATTATCAACGGATAATCACTAATATCAGTTCTAAGCATGCCATTAGTAATTACTGAATGAAACGTGGAATCCCTATCTAATATTATAGCTCTAATTAACCTTACTTTAGTAATATAAATTCAATGTATATGATATTGGAAAATTGAAACTGACATGCAAATAACGATATTTTAATTATATAATGTTGTACACATTTCCTTTCTTTTTCAGTTGAATTTCAGTTGAAACTGATTATCCAGTGTCAAGTATATGCCACTAGATAAATCAATTATCCACTGATTCAGATTTAGAGAGAAAAAAAAAATATCCAAAAGATATCTATATTGGAGCAGCCCGATGACTCGTCGACAGTCACGATAAAAATTCTCCCGTCGCCAATCGGAGTCGACAGAAAGTTCGCCGATGTGACTGACCTTCGCAAATCCCGTCGCTGAAAATGCGACCGCCGTCGCGTTTTCGTCGCCGTTGCATGACGAACCGTATGCGAAATACATATCGACCCGTGTTAATACGTGCGTCAGTGCGGCGCGATTCAGCTGGTGAATATATAGAGACTGTCGTCGACCGCTTTATTTTTACGCGCGTGCTAAAGACGCTCTGTCACTTCGTCCGTCTTGCTTCGAATTCGCCGTGTACGACGGACGAGTGTGACGTCTCAATTAACGTTCTCCGCTGTCCGCCACTCTCTTTCTGTAGCCACTCTTTCTGTCTTTTTCTCTTTTTGTCTCCGTAGTTCTGAATTCCTTTTCGAGGGGACCACGGAATTCGGGGCGAGTTTCGAATGAAGACTCGAGAGATCTCTTTTCGAGAGTGGCGCTCTATTTGTAGAACAGGGAACAAAAAGGGAGTAAAGCAAGAAAAAATAAAGAGATATAGAGAGAAATAGATAAAGATATAAAAGATGAAAGAGGAAGGAAAAACGAAGAATAGAAGAGCCATCATGCTGAGATTCCTGTATCCGAACTCTCAGTCTCTCTTGTGTTCTCCTCGGTTGCATCGTAATAATCAACGTTATGAAAGTATTATTCACGCATACTATAAGAACAAAGAGACAAAGAAAGCTTCGTTTGAACTAGAGACCTTATCATTGAGAGAACAAATTTTAATAAATATTTTTAACTATAATTCCATTATTAATGCAATTATTTTATAATGTGATTATTAATGTAATTATATTATTAATATCACTTAGAACATGTGAATACACAACTAATTAGGAATTTTTCTTATCAGTTGTATAATTACATATTAGTGTAATTACATTACATGATATTATAATTGTTACTGCTATAGTAAATAATGTTCTACAATAGTTCTATCAACAAATATATATAGCTGGCAAAAGTGACTATATAATGAAAGTTATTATTATCAAAGTATTACAAAAACAATTACTATAAATTATATAAGTTAAATATTTTTGAGACCATATCACAGATATTAAAATAAATCTAGAGTGGGTTAAATCTATTAAATTTAACCTAATTTAATAGGAGCAGTGATGATATAGCGGTTTTCACTGGCAGAATTCGTGTACATTAAAGCTGTACACTAATCTGAATGTAAAAGTGAAATATCTCAATTAATAAAATACTCAATGTATATTTTATCAAATAGCAGAATAAAATGCATTGAGGATTTAGCGGTTTAATTCGTTTCTATATTTTTATTAAACGTACATTTATACGTCGATTTATATACAACGGCTTTAAAGTGCACTGACAATGAGTGCGCGCCAGCTTTGTCAGTGAAAAACGCTATATCATCACTGCTCCTATTAAATATATTGTTAATTTATACTAAAACGATAGTTAAATTTAACATTGTAAATTTAATAGTACACGGTTGTCAAAATATTTAATTAAAATATTTAATTAAATTGCGTCGTAAGATCTCTAGTTCGAACGAAATAATCGGCAGTTATCGGTGATATCGGCCGGGCACGAACCGCGTGATTATTTCACAAATAAATAACAAAGGCAGGTGTAAACGAGATGTCTTCGAAAGCACGATGGGGAGGGAGTCGGAGGGACAGAGAGAAAGAGAGCGCGAAAGAGAGAGGGAGGGAAAACAAAAGGAGTAGCGAACGTGAGCGAGCGAGCGAGCGGGACGACACGCTCGCTCACGCTCGTCCACGCACGAACGAACGCATACGCGCAAGCGCCTACGAGTCAGCTGGTTAAAAACAGCTGTGGCCGAAACGTCGACAAAGCGGACGATTTCGAGACGGGTTAAATGTCCGCCGTGCGATAATAAATGTACGCAGGCGAGTTTTTCTTTCCCAACGTCTAACTCGCTACTCTCGCGAGTTCTCACCGGCAATCGCAGGCAATAAATGCCGATTATCACGGCGATTATTGTTCTCGATAAGCGAGCCAGCGATTGGATTCGCTACATGCACGCACACATTTACAACGTTGGGTACAGAGCGCTGGAAAAAAAATGATGGACGAGCTTCGAAGTTGATAGTTAAAAGACGGGAGGCAGACAAGAGTTTTTTTTTAATTTCAATAAAAGTTTAGTAATCTATAAAGAAAAATAAAATGGAAAAAGGTTTTTTATCTTCTAATGAAATCGCTTTTCTTTATAGATGTCCTTGGTCGAATTCTTAAATTTTTATGAAACTTTAGTGGTCTACAAAAAATGATCGAAAACATTTGATTTTTAATGAAATCATTATTCTTTATAGACTTTAAGTTGAATCTTTATTTTCTATGTAACTTTAATCTACGAAAAACGATCGATGTTTAATAGAAACATTTCAATCTTTTTAATGAAATCATTATTCTTAAATATTCATAATTTTTTCGTCGATACAGATTTATTTATCATCTGTTTAATAGTAATTTAAAAAAGAAACAGGGGAAAAATTTTCCACAAATAGACTCCTAAAAGACTCCTAAAAGACTTTTAAATTATTGTCTAAACAAAAACAACTAACGAATTCTTATCTTTCTGTTTACATCAACTAGAACGTTAATAGAAAGGAATTTAAACGACGGTCGATCGTGCCTACACTGGGTGTCAAAATTAGAAAATTGCGAAACTAGATAAGTATTACAACAATTACTCCAAGAAAGAAACGTCGATTTTCCACCCAGTATCAGATCAACGCAAAAGGTTCGTCGCATTCGTGAAATGAATACGAAAACAAAACATCAACACAGAATCGAGGTAAATCATTTCTGACTGTGTGGCATGCTCCTTTTCTCATTCGGAAAGAAATGTTTTCAATCTCCTCTTCACAAAGGAAACTCCAGTTCTCTATCATCATTCAATAAAACAGAGCTCGGTGGAAGGATGTCAAACCTTTTGCGTCGATCCGATAGACCAAAAGGGTTCCACCGCAAACGAGAAGTCTACTCGCGCGTGGCTTTTCAGCACCCTGTATAAAACACACGCATGAAGGCAGGCAGGCAGGCAGACAGACAGGCAGGCACATACATACACGCACGGAGAGACGCGCGCGTGCAAAGAGGAGGCGCATTCGCGAGTCGCTCTCACGTGTGCGCCGCCAGTACACAACATAGGTATAGAATCGCACGAGGTACTTATCGGACGCAGCATAGAGGAAGGGGGGAAGTGGGGGCCTTTCATAAAGCAGCTCTCCAAGGATACAGTTTGATAACGTCCGTGTCCATGCGTCGCTTGCCGGCGCTGGGGGACGACATATTTATCGGTGCTGCTCGCTCGTCGGCGGTGCTGAGTTCGGCAGGGGCCCTTCCTCGCCCCGCGGCGCTCCTGGTAGCGTCCTCCACCACTACCTCTCCTTCCGCCGCCTCCTACCGCTGCGCGTGGATCAGCTGAGCCCGACAGGCACTCCGTCGTGCCCCGGGAGGGCCCTCTGGACAAACGCCTCGTCAATTATCCTTCTTCAGCGAAGGAACAATTATCCTTCTTCAGCGGCCAACTCCTCACGGCCCCGTACTTCGGCACTCCGGTGACGCGCACTTCTGTCTCCAACGTTAATGTAAACCGAGCTTATATTCAGCGCACTGAACGACCGAAAGAGACAGAAAGAGTGAACAGAGAAAGAGAGAGAGCGTTAGTAGCGAAGAAGGGAGTGCAAAGGGAGGGTATACGAAAGGGGAGGAGGAGAGAGAAAGAGAGAGAGAGAGAGAGAGAGAGAGAGAGAGAGAGGAGGACAATTTTTACGCAAGAGGGGGGGGAGAGAGAGAGAGAGAGAGAGAGAGAGAGAGAGAGAGAGAGAGAGAGAGATGCACACGGACGTTGCGCGACGAACGAAGAGAAGGAAAAGAGATAAGAAAAAAATAAAGACGGCACGCTCGTAAACGCAAACAATCAACCAGTCGATCGACAGATCCCTTCCTCGGAGGCTCGTCCTGATGAAGGGCGAGTAACGCGAGATGAGATTCGCGAACGATCGACTTCGATTCGACGCGGGTGAACGCGATGTGGAACAATCCGCCGCGAGGTGAAAACTGCGTTCGTCCGAACGCTGCGCTGCGTTGCGTCCGTCTTTCTTTTCTTCCTTTCTTCGTTTCCCTCCTCCACGAAGCGCGCTGTGAGCGTCGCGTGTGCGTCCTCTCTCTCTTTCTCTCTCTCGCTCTCTCTCTCTTTCTCTGTCGTTGTATATGTGTATATAAACGATTCGTGCGTCTCTTTCTCTCTCCCCTCGCTCTTTGCCCGTGGAAGAAAGATCTCAAGTACTACCAGAGACGAGAAGAATCGTTCACCTTCTCTTTTAAAGGGTCACCTCCTGCTCCAAGTACTCCTTCTCGCGCGGACCAGGCCAAGGAAGCCACAGGGAGGCTAGAGGATCATTTCGTCAACGTTGTCGATGACGAGATCGTCGCGCACGTCAACTGCCCGTGTTCCTCTCACTCGCGGGTCGCTTTCTTTCTCTCTCTTTTTCTCTCTCTCTCTCTTTTCTTTTCCTGGCTCGCGTGCGCGTACACACGGAAAAAACCGTCCCCGTCCTCCTGCCAGAGAGAGAGCCTAACGCCAACCGCCGTCACGTAAACGCCTGTTCCTTCTCTCTCTCTCTCTTTCTCTCGCGCGCGCGCTCCCTCTCTCTCTCTCTCTCTCTCACTCTCTCGTGCAACCCGCGACCTGTCAATCCACGATCTTCGCCACCATCTGATTGCGTTCTCGTCGCTTGCACACTGGACTCTCCTGGCTCAACCGATGCTGCTGCCTCCGACGAGCGACGACAGCAGCGCTCAGCGCATGCGCACCATTTCTTTGCGAAAATCTCTCGAGCTTCTCGAGTAAAGTTATCCACGAATTTGCGAGCGAATATATAACGCGTCGCCATTTTCCATCGCTAGCCGTGCGGCGGGTATTTTAATTCTTATAACCCGAATTTTGAAATCACATGTTAATATTCTAGTTTACATTCTGTACTTGATACGAGTACTAATTAGTAATTTTCTATTGAATTCTCTTAATTTTCGAAAAATGATTGATTGAAAATTTATACCTTTCATATAAAAATGAATTATATATACATGAAGCAATTTAATAAGGTCTATACAATAACACAATTTTACAGCTTAAATTAAAAATTGCTCATTATATCTTAATTATTTTTTAAAAATATATCTATTGAAAGAATTTTTTGTCCAGATTTTAAATCTCCGCCAAATTTTTTGTATTATTTTTTAATACAATATAAAAAAATCTGTCATTTTTTCATAATTTTTATACTTTGTTAAAAAACGTATAATAAATCTTTAATATGAATGGTTTATTTATTAAAATTTAATGAAGAACTAAGAATCTATCATATTAGAGAAATCTCTTAATTATTAAAAAAATTCTTTAATTTTTAAAATTTTTTAATCTCTCAATTTTTTTTATCTCTATTAAAGAATCTACAAATAGTTACAAAATTCTTTAATTAATATAATTGATCTTGCCCATAGTTCCTTATTAGATCTAAATGTATAAACCAATTATATTTAAGAATTTTACAACAGTTGCAAAGCTGCTTTCTCGGCTAAAAGCAACCATTGTCACACGGAAAGAATGATTTTGCTGAAGCAAATTTGGTTAAAATAGATCATCAAAGAGTGATTACTCAAGCATGATAAACAATGCTACAAAATAAGTTTTGACATTCTAACAACCTCCATAAATTTGAACATTCATAATTATTTTAACGTCCAAACGAAATTATTTTCAAATCTGTATTTAGCTAAATTTTTAGATATCTCAGCGAAATTATCCTTTTGCTTAAATGCTTAAACATGTCTCACTACTCATTGGAATCTACGCTGAAGATTGCGAATTAAAGATTAGAATTTGACTAGTCAGATAATTTTAATTTTAATGTTTTATTCTGATTGGCTGAATTCTAATCTTCAATTCGTAATCCTCAGTCTCCAATGTGTAGTGTGACACGTGCTTTAAATGTTCTACTTAATTATTTTGCTGATCCAACGCAATTATTTTCAGATCTGTACTAAATTTTTTAATATCTCAACAAAACCTTTTCAACAAAAAACCTTCTTTCTGCGTATTTTTCAATGTTCCTTTCGGTACTTGAATATAGGATAGATGTTTATTTCATTAAATTTGTCATGTCGCGCAAAATGACTACAACAGATTCGTTTATTTAAAAAGTGTATAAAAATTATATAAAAATGTTATGAATGCAAAGCGATTATCGTCGAGATTATAAATATTTATAAATACAATTGCTTTCGATATAATACATAACTTCATTTCTTTTACATAACGACGAAATGGTATTATCACTGAAACCATTAGAAAATCTTGAACTAATGATTGAGTCACTACTCGATTAATAACATGAACTAATTATTTTTATAAAGGTAAAAAATAATCTTCTGTAAATCTCCGCTTGTGTATGTCTAGTTTAAATATCGCTACATTATTTGATTAATATTCACTAGCATGAAGACAGCATACGGAGAAAAACTTTATTGCACCTTACTTGTAAAACGCTATTTTATGGTCAGTGCCTATATAATAAGTACTACATTAAATGTCGATATTATATGTTAAGTACACACATTTATCTAAAAAATATTATTAAACGGTTCCTGATCTAATTTTGAATAACAGATTCATGCAAAAGTTCATTATGCCTTGTATTCCGTAGCGTATCTAAAGTGAATTATATATATATATATATATATATAAAACAATGTATATAATAAAAAACTGACCTTATTGAATAGCAGACTTAAGTAAGTTGGCACATACTTTCTGTACGAAATTGTTACTTTCAAAATGCATGCCGTGGTAAATCATGAATATAAACTCTTAGTGTTATCAATCATGATCAATACGATTGTTACAAATGATAGATGAATGCCCAATAATGATATGTATGTAATATATAATGTATATGATGTAGTAAGATATTATACGAGACTTCTTTATAATTCGAATTACAAAGTAAAAATTAAGTACGTTCTCTCTCTTTCTCTCTCTCTCTCTCTCTCTCTCTCTCTCTCTCTCTCTCTCTCTCTCTCTCTTCTCTTACGCATTTTACTGACATATATATGACAAGTAAATAGGAGAAATATATTCTTGAATTTAGTATAAATTCATCATCTAGATCTTTTCTTTATGTTGCTGATTAATTGCAACAAATCTTTTACATAAACACATCTAATATTTATAAGATTGAAATGGAATGCTGTAATATCTTCAAATTTGCAATGATTTAAGTAAAAATAATTAACTGTAAATTTGTATAATAGTTACAGAATTTTTATATTAACAGACAAGTCGCATAAAAAATGATTAGAATAGTACAGGAATACTATCGCTACTATATGCATATAATACTGAAAAATATTATAAAAATTTTATATGTAAAAAACATGCCAAAAAATCTTTAATCTAATTTCTCAATATAAGAATTTCATTGATTTATCAGCAGATAAAATATATTTTATCCATTAATAGAAACATTATAGAATTCTATGCGCAATATAATAATACATCCATATAATACTGTGTAAATTCTATTCAGTTATAAATTAGTTGTTGTTTACTACATCTGACGTTACCCAGAAGATATTGAGGTCTTGAAGATATTTAAAAAAATATCTCATCAACAATCTCTTCAAGATATTTCCAAAATATCTTTAAGATATTTATATTAGAAATATCAAAGATATCTAAATGATTTCTCTTAAAAAATATCTTAGTATTCATATAAGTCGATTCTTATTTCAAGATCATTTTAAGTAATATCTTAATCTTTTTGTATCACGAATTTTTATGAGACCAATTTTTTTAAAACTTTGTATCCAAACATTTTTTAAATCATTGTTTACGATCAGAAGTCAGAATTTTATAATTTAAGTCGATCCAATATGGCAAACTAATAATTCAAATATATAACTTTTAGTATAATATTTAGTAAAGTATTTCATTATTTATAAAAATTAATTATTTAATAAATTATTTAATTATTTAATATAATTATTTAATAAAAGCTAAAATATCCAAAAACTAAGTTTTAAAACAATAAGACTATTTTTTCATAAAATTATCGCTATTTTCAAATAATTTGTAATATGTCAAAATCAGTTTTCATATCAATGCTATAATAAAGTCATGTAGCAAAAAAAATTGGAAAAATGTCATAATACTGTATCCTTCATCAAGATATCGATTAGAAATGCTACAAAGATATTTTAAATAAAATCTTTTTAGATATCTTTTAGATAATCTTTCAGATATCTTTTTAAAAATATTTTGAATTTTTTATATCTTTAAGCTCTCGGTAATTTCTGAGCAAAGTCATTTCATCTTATTTGCATGTAAAACATTTAATTTGATTGTCATTTATACAATATTTTCCTAAATTTACATAAGCACATATATAGAAAATATTAGTATAACAATGTTTTTATGTCAAAGAGATGTTATATTAAAATAACATGATTACATTTATTGTTTTTTGTTCTAATACTTTTTGGATCGCATTTTTGAGTATGCGATTTTAATTATTACATTTATATATTTATGTTGTGTTACGCTATAAATTTTTGTAAATGGTATAAAAAGCAGGTCTATTAAATTCGTTCCAAAATTTGTGCTTTTGACATATCAACGAATATGAAGATGAAATGACTTGTGTATATATTTTCTTATTATATAGATAATACTATAAATAGGTATATAAAAACATATAAAAAAACATTGGAAGCAATAAATAATTAAATTTGGCATATAAAAAGTATGTTATTGTAGGAGTATTATCAGTCATTTTCTAATAAATAGTGAAAAATCTAAGTACAGTTCTACTTACAAGTTCTACATATAACAAAGTTATATGTACTAAAAATTAAGTACATTAAGTATTAAGTTTGCCGTGTTATCCTATTTCTTACAAAATATACATAAAGAGAAATATGTACTTTACTCTACTGCTGTTTTTCGTGCAAATGCAGTCAGCGATAGCATCTCATTAGGATCAGTTGGCAAGGGGGAAAATTCGATTTCTTCACTAATACTATTCTCTGAAAAGTAAAATAATTTAATTTATTGCTTGATGCAAATCGGCAGAATTTGACAAAATTTAAAATAATATATACAATATATAGGGTGTCCTTAAAATTTGGTATCACCCATCCTGAGCAGATAGAGCATACTAAACCGAAAAATTATTGAAAGTAAAAAGAGTAAAAAATTATTGAAGAACGATATTTAGTGACTTTTAATAATTAATATCTCGTTAACCATTGTTAAAATTGCAAAATGGTACAGGACTTTTCGACTCAGTTCAGTCCGCTCTATCTGCTCAGGATGGGTGATGCCGAATTTTAGGAACATCCTGTATAAGAGAAAATAAATATGTATGTTTCTATTTACCAGATGGTTCGATTGGCCATTGCTTATGAGAAGGCGCGTACAGACATAATAATGCAATGATATAAATATTCCACATTCCATATACTCCGGTGAAAAAGGCAGAAGTCATTTCCAATTGTAAATCTTCGTCCCATTTCCACTGACCTTCTGCAACCTACCCCAGAAACATCATATACCATTTAACATAATTTTAAAAACAACGTTAAATACAATTAATTGTATATAATTATTAGGTGTTGGAATTAATTCGTAGCGTTTTTAATGAAAGAATGTTATTTATTTCACATGAGCATTAAAAAATACATTAATGAAAGTACTTCCCATCACTTGTAAAACGCTACGAATTAATTCCAACACCTAATAAAACGTATCG